CCCCAAAACCCCAAAACCCCAAAACCCCAAAACCCCTAAATTCCATATGGCAATTGTAAAACAATTTAAAATTTAAATCAGTATGTCCAGATCAAGCTTTTCCCACAAGAAAGGGAACTCTGGAGGCACTTTTATTAGCACTTTGAAGAACTGTGATAAGTAAGATTCTACAAGTTTATATAAACGGCTGAAGGACTATAATATCCCAAAGGTCTTTAGCTTTAGATTATCTTATATTTCTAAAAATTAAACTATAGTAGCAATTTCAGTGGTCAGAACATAGAGAAAGCAGATACCAGCACATTGATAAAGCTAATAGCAAATCTAGAAAAGAAGAAAAAGACAAAGAAGAATTCTAAATAACTTATCCAAGGCTTATCTGAAATCCTCAAAAGCTCAGATCTCTCTGCAGCACTCTAAAGATGAATGGACAAAGAATATTTTTAACAAACCAAAGCCAAAGCGACAGAAATACTTAAAGGAGTACAAAAGAAGCAAGAATAGCATGCTTAAGTGCCAGAATATAAGTGTGCATAAGAAGAACAGGCATTCTCGGAGCTTTGTCATAAACATTTCTCCTAAAGTCATTACCAGAGCGGAAAGGATGCTTAACCAAAGCTCTGATCATTCCAGGCCAAGAGCCCGCTCATGCAGCAGGAGCAATTACAGCTTTACTTGTGGTAAATTTGTTGACACTGATTATGACAAGGAAATCCAGAAGTTAAAAGCTAAGCATCGCAGAGATATGATGTACGTAAAGAAAAACATGAACAGGAAGTTCAAGCGAACTATTAAGCAGATCGAAATCCAGACTGACAAGAGGTTCATCGAGCAAGAGCAAAACCACAAGAAAGCAGTACTCAAGATCACTAAGGACTGGGAAGAAGAGAGAGAAGAACTGGATCGTAAGGTCACTGAATTTGGTCAAGAGAATAAGTTCCTTAAAAATGAGCTCAGAGAGTATAAAGAATCTCATGACGATATGATCAAGGAGATTGAAAGACTCAAAAAGATTATCAATAGTTTGGAAGATGAAAATGATGCATTCAAACAGCATATACACTCACAAATGATTATGGAAAATGAAAAGAGACAAAATATGTGTGAGGAGTGATTACAGACTGATATTCTAATCTCTGCTAGATACTCAAACAAAGGAGTTGGACAGTCGATTAAGTCTTCAATCTCTCATAACAATTTGAGGCAGGATTCTTTCCCTAACTTTGTAACCCTAGAGCCGATCCTGCATAACAAGTCAATTCATGTATCATCCGCTCGTGATTTAGAGCCTGTAAATGATCGGATTCATTCTCAATGAGATAGCAAGGCATCATTTATCGGGAAGCCTACTTTCACAAAGGTAACTATCTTTCTCACCCTCTAGAGTGGACAGTTCAATAATTTTTCAACATTTGACAACTTAAACATGAACAAGAGGAGACATTATTCTAAGAACAGGACTAAGTTATGTCAGAGCCAGGAAGATTATAAGAGTCCTATTTGCTTAGATGTTTCTGACCACAAAAATTCAATAAATACCAAGAAGTCCTCTCAAGCATATGAACATAATGATGGCAGTGCAAGGAATATGTGTGATTGTGAGTGAGATAATGATAACCAAAGAGTTTCTGATATTAGATCTCACTCCAGGATCTCTGTTTGTAGTAAAAAGGAGGGAACAGGAGATTTTACCCCTACCCAGATCGCAAGTAAGCTTGTTTGTGGAAAATTTTAGGAGAACCATTGGCAGATGTTACTAATTATTATAATTCTGTGATTATTGATAAGTCTGATAATGATGACGCTATTGAAGATCATCCACCCTCCCAAAATTTATTGGCCAGTCAGCCAGAAGATGATTATACTCATGGTTCTAAGTCTAATTTTGAAGGGATTAGAGAAGAAATATCAAGAAGAAAAGAGTATCTATCTCTTAGTGTCCAAGAGCCCTCCAAAAAGCAGCAATCCTTCATAAAACCAAGCAGGTTTACCATTACTAAAGTTGAGAGAGCTATGAGTAATGAAAATAGAAACCACGATAACTCAAATGAAAGATACCGGACTCCTATTAGAAGAAGTTTGAATTTCAAGACCCAAGATTCTCATTACAGGACCAAGTAACTTCAAACTTGACTCTATAGATCTGACCCATACAGAAGCAACAAGCGAGACAGGACATCCGGGTCACGTCCAAGGGACTCTATCAAAGACTTTAAGAACAAACTTGAAGGTATGAAAGAAAACATCAAGCACATTCAGAACAAAGTGGGCTATCTCAGAAGATTCTAGGCATATTTCCTCTAAAATCTCAATTTAAAATTCTAAGTCAGGGGTTTTGGGGTTTTGGGGTTTTGGGGTTTTGGGG